TGTGCGTACGCACATTTTATAAATGAGGCCCCTGATGTCCACCGCAACGTCAAACCTAGCTACTGTAAATGCGTTTGTTTTCAATGCTCGATTTTTAGATTTGTCAGCATGCAGCTCAAATGGACTCCTTTTTCAACATAAAAAATGTTTGGCTTCATAAATTTCGACACTTATTGGTAACACAAAGATTTATGTATAATGCATTAGAAAGGTGTTCAGAATGTATGTTTTAATGCATTAAATCTTTTCATAAATAATTGTTACCAGAGTTAAAATGCATTATAATATTTGAGGGTTTGTTTGCCATGTGTTTTAATGCATTATATTTTATGACGGTGTAACAGTGCATTATAATGCATTGATTACAATTATTCATGAGCTCATACGTGCATTATAAGGTGCATTACAAGGCATAATTAATGCATTAAAACTACCTTTATAATGCATGATATATAAAGGCAAAGTGTTACCAGTTTATCCTCTAAAATGCCTTACCAATCCACCATGTTGTTCAATCCCGTGTCAAATATAGACACTTCACCATGCAATCAATTCAAGATGGACAAGTAAGATGACTATTGAATGCATGACTTTTGGTGTTTTGGCAAATCTAGAGGAGAAATATTTGAGATTTTTGCTAATAGCTTTTGTCTTAAATGTGGTCCTAACTGAAATTACCATGGTTACCAAACAGATAAGATATGATTTTAAAGTTAGGATCTTTCTGTAATACGCCCCCAGTCTCCATATAATCTCATTGCTTTAAATTGTAATACTAAAGCAAACTCCCTTATGATTTTCATTCCTATGGGACGTTGTTAGGACTGAACTTTTGGCCTCCTTCCTGGTGCTTTTTGCAATGAAATATCAAGGTTTTGCTTGCTTTATTGTAATACACACAAACAATAACACACACATGATTGCACAATGAAACTGCATCTCTCTATCTCCATTACCGTATGTTTCATTAAGATTATATGACTGAGATATTCCTCGTAATGTGTGTCACAGCATGGAATGGTGGTTCTGGTTTCCAATTGTTCAATAATGATCTATCTGCCAATTCAACACTGGCAGAAACCCCCGCCGCAATATGAATAAAACATAAACGGGGGACGGCCAGGCAGTTTTACTGTATAGCTTTGCTTGTCAACTGCTTCTGAGAAAATAAAAAAACCAGCATACTACGAGAAATGTTATAAATGGGTCTATACTTTCAAAAGCAACCACAAAAACCAAGAGATTTCAGGTCAGAGTCCACTTAAAGCACACCATATGGATGTTGTACCGCGGTAAAAGCACATGAAGAGACATTTAGCATTGTAATTAATGCATTAAAACTACCTTTATAATGCATGATATATAAAGGCTTTAAGTAAAGTGTTACCAGTTTATCCTCTAAAATGCCTTACCAATCCACCATGTTGTTTAATCCCGTGTCAAATATAGACACTTCACCATGCAATCAATTCAAGATGGACAAGTAAGATGACTATTGAATGCATGACTTTTGGTGTTTTGGCAAATCTAGAGGAGAAATATTTGAGATTTTTGCTAATAGCTTTTGTCTTAAATGTGGTCCTAACTGAAATTACCATGGTTACCAAACAGATAAGATATGATTTTAAAGTTAGGATCTTTCTGTAATACGCCCCCAGTCTCCATATAATCTCATTGCTTTAAATTGTAATACTAAAGCAAACTCCCTTATGATTTTCATTCCTATGGGACGTTGTTAGGACTGAACTTTTGGCCTCCTTCCTGGTGCTTTTTGCAATGAAATATCAAGGTTTTGCTTGCTTTATTGTAATACACACAAACAATAACACACACATGATTGCACAATGAAACTGCATCTCTCTATCTCCATTACCGTATGTTTCATTAAGATTATATGACTGAGATATTCCTCGTAATGTGTGTCACAGCATGGAATGGTGGTTCTGGTTTCCAATTGTTCAATAATGATCTATCTGCCAATTCAACACTGGCAGAAACACCCGCTGCAATATGAATAAAACATAAACGGGGGACGGCCAGGCAGTTTTACTGTATAGCTTTGCTTGTCAACTGCTTCTGAGAAAAAACCCCCCGGATAATATGAGAAATGTTATAAATGTGTCTATCCTTTCAGAAGCAACCACAAAAACCAAGAGATTTCAGGTCAGACTCCACCATATGGATGTTGTACCGCGGTAAAAGCACACGAAGAGACGTTTAGCATTCATGTTCCCTGCTGTGTGAGACTGACTCATACATGTTATACCATAATGTCGTTTTCTTTCTTATGTTACAATATTTCTTTCATAACAGACCATGCAAAGTATATGTTTTCAAGTTAAGCAATAAGGCACATGAGGCTGTGCAATATTGTCAAATAGCAGTGAGAACACACACACACACAGAGATATATTTAAAATATAATTAAAACATTTATATATATATATATATATATATATATATAGAGATATATATATATATATATATCCAAAACACACATACACAATACACACACACAAGCACATACATTTGACTCTCCCTGCCATCTCTCCACAGTGGTATCTCTTCTCTCCAGCTGGTGTCTTCAGGTTCGGGAAAAGGCCATGCCGAAGGAAGGGGGCGTACAAACATTAAAGCATGGTAAAACATGGTTTTGCTACACTAACCCTAGTTCAACCATGGTATTTGTAGTAAAACTGTCGACGTACAAATAGAATTATATCTGCCAAAAAAATAATAATAACATGACAAAAAAATGTATATATATATATATAACACACATACATACACACAGATATTTTTGCATTTTTAAATATTTTTTATGACAATTTAACACATTTTGATCACAAATTTGCAATATAATTTATAATTTAGTATAGTAATAGTATACAAATTGTAGAGTAAAAGTCTTTTTATTTAAAAATATTTTTTATTTATATTGCACTTTTGTATTGTTTGTTGTATTTTTGTTGTCTTTTCCAGGGTTACCAAGTTCTGTTGTCGGAATCGTTTCATTTGGTTGAATCATTGTATTCCCCACTGAAAGGACAAACTCATTGCTGAAGTTTGAAGGTTGATTTTAACACCTAGTGTACATAAAAAAAACAACCACAAACATCTCATTTAACGTTTTTATTACGGACAAAATGAAACAAAAGGCATAGTGACACAAAATGACCTGGCTGGCAAAGAAAGAAAAAAAAACAGCATTCAAAAAGTAAAAACCAAAAAATAAAAGCAATTGTCATCATCATCATAATCATAATCAAAAAACAACAGAATTCAAATATGGTAGTCATAAGCAAAATTGATCTCATTTTGTTCATAAATAGAAACCTGTTAAACATTATTAAATATTAACTGATGGGCAACTTGTTGATAACAATTTTAAAATAATTATCATTGCTGACTTTACAAATAAAATAACTACAATTGGCAGGTTTGTACACAAATTAAATGTCTTAGAAGTTATTCTTTTTATTCAACTAAAAATAGTATGCTACAGTAGAAACAAAGATTAAAATAAAACGTTTGACTAAATGATCAAATGTATTTAATTTTTCCCCACAAAACTTAAAGATGAGATCAACACAATAGAACATCTAGCAAAAGCTACTAGAAAACTATAGACCCACTGTTGTTTTACTGTGTGCTGTATTATCTCACATTGAGAACATTATAGTTCACCTTTACATGTTATATTGGTGGATTTAACGTCAGTCAAGACCAGGCAAAAGAAGTGACCCGGGTTTCAACAAAACTACTGCTTCAAGCTTGAAACAAACTCTACGCAAGCACAAAAATGTGAAATGTGATGCATTATCTGCGTTGCCACAAGTGGCGATATTAACATAAACTGAAGAGAATCTTTCTGAATAATAAGGATTAATGGCACAAACATTTGGAAACTGCACTTGCCATGTGTCAGCCAAGTGTGCACGTCTGCGTACTTGCGTGAAGTATGTTTCTGGCCTTTGACCTGAATCTGGAACATTTACGCTTCTATACGTCGCATGTAGAACCTGAGAGTAAATCGACAAAGCTGATCAAATCACCTCACGAGTTTGGCTGTGAACATGCTTCGTAAAACCATTCATTTGTGATTTTAGAGTTATGGAAGCCTATTTCTGCCACTGAATAAAAAAAAAGTAATTTTTACTTTTTATCTCACAATTCAGATTTTTTCCTTAGAGTTGTGTGATATAAACTCGCAAGTTTATATCTTGCAATTCTGATGTTTTTTCCTCGCATTTGTAAGTTAATATTGCACAATTCTGACTTTTTTCTTGCAATTGTGACTGTCTCAGAATTGTATCTCGCAATTCTGAGGTGAAAGTTAGAATTACAAGTTTTTATCGTGCAATTCTGAGAAAAAGTCCGAATTGCGAAATGAAACTTGCAATTGCAAGGGGGAAAAAAAGAATTGTGAAATAAAAAGACACAATTACCTTTTTATTTTGTATTCAGTGGTGGAAACAGACTTCCATACAGTCGTGCTTCAAAATCAAAAATGAGGCTCTGATGAATTGGGGAGCCTAAATGGAGAGCCAGGTCATGCAGTCTGTCATGGTTTTTGCCATAGATCTTTTTTTGGGAAATCACACCAGTGAGCACAGATTTTAATGCAAGATTGTGTACGTGTGGAAACACTCTTCTGATATCACCTGCACAGGCTGTTCAGTTACACAACGCACAAATACACTCACACACGCTCATTCATACCGGCACGCATTCACACAATACCATTTAAAATACAAATCAATGAATTATAAGTCATATTAAAGAAGAAAAAATATCTGGACTTCATCTTCCCTATTTGACCCCCAAAAAAGTGATATTTACAATCACACTGTGACAGATCAACAAAGACCTACACGGGTCTTTAAAATTACAAAAAGAAGTTTTCCATTTGCGTATTTCTTTTTTCTTGTCTATTTTTTTGCCTAAAATTCACAGAGCATTAGTTGAACAGCAACGTATCGCCCTCAGAAGAATATTTTCTCTAAAGTAAAGGACCTGTTGGCCAAAAGAAGCGCTATGTTGCAAGCAGGAAATAAATAAAAGTACAACAGCAAAACAAAAAAAAATTCTAATAAAATAAAAATGAGACCAGAGGGAAAGTAACTGAGAAACTACGAGGAGAGTTTTCCTCTGTTTTAGTTAAAGCTCATTTGCCCTGAGGGCCAGTTTAATGGTAGTTTGCTTTATTTTATTTTTTTTCCTTTTCGTTTTTGTTATATACATCTTTTTTTGTTGTTTTCTTTTAAATTTATTTAGAGACGGGGTGAGTGCTCTCTGAGGTCTCTGGCGGAGAGGCCTGTACATTTTTTAAGTGCTTGGCAAAAATGAAAGGATCACTAGTAGTCTTCACACACACATCCTTCTAAAAATGAATGAAAAATGACACTGAGGGAAACTGATGATGTCTGGGAAGGGTGGAGAGGTGTGGGGGACTCCCTGGTGTTGTTTCATCTTTTCTCTTTCCGTTCTCCTTGTTTTGCTTCAAGTGAGGTAGAGTGGCTTATCCCTGCCTATCATACTGCCACTGCGAAACAATGAGAAACAAATGAGCGTCAGGAAAACGTTAATGTCTTGCTTTTTTTAAAAACCCCAAAAGTTCTCTTGATAGAATTTTCAGCCAAAAATGACAATTGTGTCATTATTGACTCACCCTCATGTCACTCCACACCAAAATTCAAACCAATCCATCGAACAAAAATAAAGATATTGGCCAAAATGTCTGAGCAACCAAAAAAGCCTCAATATCGTAACATCAATCCTAGGGCTGTGATGAAGAAAACGCATACGGAATTGCAGAATCCAGTCATAAAAATTTAATTTACTGTACAACACGGAATTTGTCAAATTTAGGATGAATACATCAAAATAGGGTCAATACATTTAAATCACGACATTGACTATTGTATTATTGAGATTTTTTTTGTAAAAACGGAATAAATTAAGTTATTTTTATGAGTTAGAAATGCTTTTTGATTATTAATTAACCATTAAAATGGAATCCAAAAACAGAAAACACAAAATTTGTTTAAAAAAAAATGGAATTCAAGAGAAAAATAAAAAATAGGGCCCTAAAAAATTTTTTGGTAAACTTTTAATAAATTGATGTTAAATTGTATTGATTTAACCATTAAACGGAGCCCAGAAAAATTAACAATGGGAAAAAAAAAAAATGTCATCCAGAAAAATTACAATGGAAATAAAATGGAATTTGAGAAAAACATAAAAAGGATTACAGTAATCCATAACACCTGTGCACTGTATTCACTCAGTTTTCTTCAGATCTATCATATGACTTTAGAACACAGAAAAAACTGCTCATGAGTCATATGGACTGCAGTCATGAAACTTAAGATGTTTTTTGTCAATGCAGTGTGAACATTCGGTTAAATATCTACTTTTGTGTTCGACATAAGAAAGAAAGCCATACAGGTTTGGAATGATATGAGGTTGAATAAATAATGACAGAATTTTCATTTTTGGGTGTACTAGTCTTTTAACTTTGTTATTGTATGTGTTTTTTTGCATTGCATTGTTATATTACACAATAAATAATTAATGCCGCACTGCTGTGAAACCACACATGCTGCTTGCACATGCTCAACGAGTCCCCTGATACTATGACACACGTCTCGTGGGACAAGCACAGTTAGCATCGTAACAAACACACTGTTTACCTGCAGTGGTTTCCGCCGCATTCCCGGTTGCAGTACTCGCTGTCCCAGTCGGGGTTCTGGCCCGCTGGGTTCGGAGCCCCTGGAGACTGAGACTCCCCCACGCTCTTCTGATACTCGGACTGTAAGTGAGAGAATCCCTGGGAGAGAGAGAACACGCATACAGTATATTATTAGCATTTTTAGGCCATAAACATATGCAAGTATGCAAACATGACTGCTTGGCCAATGCAATGCAAGTGTGAGGCCCTGATTTACATACTTAACATACAAAACTGTAATTTTAAATAAATTCTGAAAATGTAAAGCATGCTATTTAAACAGCATTCTAAGAATTAAACCTATAATTTATTTCTCACTTCTCATTTTCTCACAGCTGATAAAATGTTCTCTTTTATTGCTTCACTGCAGGGGGGTGCTAAACGCTGATGGTGCTTTGGAAAATCAGACCTTTTCACTTCACACGGTGTCTTTTGACAAAGACAACACCTTCAAAACAACACATCCTCCACCCCAGTTCTCACTTCATCTCATTTCACCTCACACTGCAACCGCACGCTTAAGATGACCTGTCCTTTTCCAACTTAATTTGGTAACACTTTCCCAACAAGATTATTTGCTGCTAAAACTTTGATCACCACTATTATTGTCTTAAACAAAAACCAGGGGATAAATACTGTGTGTTTCATTGGTTTTCCACATAAAAACACGTTTTTATTTGACGAAAATTACACTTTAGATCATGGCAAGTTTGGAATGGAATACTACCATACTGTTCACTGCACACTGCAAATATACACTGCATGCTATTGTAGCATCGATAAATGTTTCTATGGCCATGTTTGGAATATATGTTATATATTGTATAATAATAATAATAAAAAAAAATAATAAGAGCAATATGCAATGATAAACATTTCTAAAGTTATATTCACTGCATACTGTGCATTACATACTACAATCTTTTTTTTCCATCTATGCAACAATAAATGTTTTTAAAAAGTAGTATGTGACACACTATGCAACAATAACAGTAAAGTGCCAGACAGTAGTATAAAACCTCATGTTTAAATGAGCAAATGACGTCCAGTTATCATTTCTGGAAAAAACATGTCATTTGCATTTAGAAAACCAAATGAATGCTGGAAATGGAAGGTCAAGTTGAGTGCATTGCATTATAGAATACAGTTGTACATTTGCACATTGTTGTACAGTTGTACACAAAGCAGTCATAAGTAGCACAGGTATATTTGTAGCAATAGCCAACAATACATTGTATGGGTCAAAATGATCAATTTTTCTTTTATGCCAAAAATCATTAGGATATTAAGTAAAGATCATGTTCCATGAAGATATTTAGTAAATTTCCTAATGAAAATATATCAAAACTTAATTTTTGATTAGTAATATGCATTGCTAAGGACTTCATTTGGACAACTTTAAAGATGATTTTCCCAATATTTAGATTTTTTGCACCCTCAGATTCCAGATTTTCAAATAGTTGTATTTCGGTAAAATATTGTCCTATCCTAACAAACCATACATAAATGGAAAGCTTAATCATTCAGCTTATTCATGTATAAATCTCAATATCAAAAAATGGACCCTTATGACTGATTTTGTGGTCCAGAGTCACATTTTAGCAAATTTCTATGCACAGTATTCAATGGCAGTGTGCCGTTCCAGTCGCACCCCATAAACACAAGCACGTGCGGTGTTTCGCAGCATGCACACTAACCTGCTGTCCTGGGGGTGGGGAGTGCAGCGGAGCCTGGAGGCCCATCTGGTGAGAGATGATTGGCTGCGACTGGACTTGCTGCATGCGGATTGGCTGGTTGAGGAGGGAGCCCTGGTGCAGAGAGAGCTGCTGGTGGAGGGGAGGGCTGATCTGGAAGGACGCTGGGGGGGAGGCACTGAGTGCGGGCAGCATGGCCGAACGGGGAAGGCCGTGTCTGGGAGCCCCCGCTGCATAGCTCTGGAGGTCCGAGAGAGGGAAGGGGCTGGGGCCCAGGTACGGGGAGGAGGGCTGGGGTGGGACGCTGTACAGGGGGGCATTGGGGGGCATCATGTGTGACGATGCCTGACTAGACTGGGTGCTTTTGCTCTCCACAGGGTCACTGTAGGTCTGACAGAGAGGAAGACAGAGAACATGACCATCATATTTATGCTAGTGCTGGACAATGATTAATCGCAATTAATTACATCCAAAATAAAAGTTTTTGTTGATTTACATTTAGTCATTTAGCAGATGCTTTTATCCAAAGCGACTTACAAATGAGGACAATGGAAGCAAATCAAAATCAACAAAAGAGCAATGATATGCAAGTGATATAACAAGTCTCAGTTAGCCTAACGCAGTACACATAACAAGTTATATAATAAATAAAAAAGAAAACAGATAGAATAGAAAAAGAATAGAGCAAGCTAGTGTTAGAGGCCTTTTTTGCTTTTGTTAATTTTATAATAAATAAAAAGAAAACAAATAGATGGAATACAAAAAGATTAGAAAAGATAGTGTAAGTTAGTTTTTTTTAAAGAATAGAATTAGAATAGAGAGTGCTAGAGTTAGAGGGTCAAATAAAAATGGAAGAGATGTGTTTTTAGCCGATTCTTGAAGATGGCTAAGGACACAGCTGTTTATATAATAAATGTGTGTGTACAATGTACACTCTAAAAAATGCTGGGTTGTTTCAACCCAACTTTGGGTCAAATATGGACTAACCCAACTTTTGGGCTAAAACTGTAATGAAAAATTTAACCCAACAGCTGGATTAGACCATATTTGACCCAAAGTTGGTTTGAAACAACCCAGCATTTTTTTAGAGGGTATATTTATTATGTACATATAAAGACACATACATACAGTATATATTTTGAAAATATTTACATGTATATATTAATATTCATATAATTTATTTTATTTTATTTATTTATATATATATATATATAAACAAGATATTTTTCTTAAATATATTCATGCATGTATGTGTATTTATATATACATAATAAATATACACAGTACACACATATATTATGTACACAAAAACTTTTATTTTGGATGAAATTAATTGCGATTAATCATTGCCCAGCATTAATTTATGCATGTTTATACAAATACTAGTTTATAATAACAGCAGGTGCATGAGTTTAAACACTCTCAGACTTCACATTTCCCACTGGTTCTTCTTCTGCTTTAGTCTTAAATACGCTCTTCATCCTCCCAACAAAAAAAAGTGCATGAAAAACTCATTCATGAACGAAAAGATGCACCCTCTTTTCAAGCTTAGAGCCGTGAAAACAACATGGATTTGATAGATGTAAGGCTATATAATATTGTCATTAAGAATTTAGTAGAATTTAAGGGTGAAATTTACATGGAGTACACTGTAAAAAAGGTACTTAAGTTTTAATTACCTGAAGAAAAAAAAGATTGCTGGAGAAAGTTTTACAAGAAAATACTATATTTCAATCATTGTACTTCAAAATTGCATGTTTAATTCTGTTTCTTAGTAATTAATTGTGAAATTTACTAGCAATTTCCAAGCAAAAATTGTTTTTGTTTTTTTACATCTTCTGTATAAAATTGGCACAGACTCCAAAACGTAATAATCATGTTTTCCTGCATGATTTGAGAAAAACTTCAATGGAAATGAGAAACAAGATCTCAATCTCTTTTGCAAAAGAAAGTCTCCTATTGTACGTCTCAGATGTTTCTCCTGAGAAAAAGTATGTGTTCAACTCAAACATTTCTGATCAAATGACTCAACTGCATCGATTTTTATTTCTTCTGAGGACATTTAGGAGAAAACGTGAAAATGTTATGTGGATTAGACTTAGACTTAGTGGTTTGACCAATTCCTTCTATCATATTTTCCTCCTTTTCAATGCATTAGAGTATATGAACACATCAGTGAAAGCATATGCCAAAAACAGATTTTGATGAAATATTTAACTACTCTATATGCAATGAAGGACTGCATTTAAGAAAGGCATCTCAAGCTGTGCTCAGATTTGCCAAGATCCAAAGTCTGCACTCAAAAGCCAGAGATCTCAATCCAATGACTCATTCCCATCAATTTTTGTCTCCTGATAAATTTGAGGAGAATCATTTCATTAAATGAAGCATAAACGAGCATTGTCCTTGAGAAGGTAGTGCAACAAACTCCTGAAACACGTGAGTATTTAGAACAATGAGAGGGAAAACTGTCAGCATCTCTCTGTGATTTGTCAAGCTGATAGCGTGCAATTACGGCAGGGCATTGTTTCATTACTGTTTTACACGGGAGCATGCATCGCAAATGGCAATATGTATTTCAAATGTCAGTGCGTGATGGCCAATCGCTCGTGTTCATCAGCTGTCACCTTCATAACGCCTCGTATATATATCGAGCAGAATATCTAAACTGATCAACATGAAAAGATCTAGGGACGAAGAAAACGAGCGAAACCAAATGAGAAAGCCAGCGCTGTTTGAGCGAGCACATCTGCTTCGGACGTTTTCAGACATCTCTCTTTAAATTAAACAAGTGGAGATTGTCCAGGTCCTGAACGTACATCATAAGATTGGTTTCAAAAGAGACTGTTATTGATTGTGCCATTAATATTTCACACAAGCTCTAAACAACATCACAAACGACAGGTTTACTTTTTATTTTCACCAAAAAAATCTAACTTTAGTCATTGTGTACTCACTACTAAACCTGAATGCATTTCTTTCTTCTGTTGAATACAAAAAAAAAAGCTATTTTGAAGAATGTTAGTAACCAAACAGTTGCTGGCACCCATTGACTTCCATAGTATGGGAAACATACTATGGAAGTCAATGGGTACCAGGAAACATTTGGTTACACATTCTTCAAAATATCTTCTTTTGAGTTCCAGATGAGACAGAAACTCATACAGGTTTGAAACAAGTTAAGGATTAGTAAATATAATGACAGAAGTTTGATTTTTCGGTGAACTGTCCCTTCACCGTAATATTATCACAAAAATAAAAATCTGTATAGTTGTCATATTATGGACTGACATGAAGGTGAGTAAATAATGACAAAATATTCATATTTTGCCTGACCTATCACTTTAAAACATTAAAAACATATCTATCTATCTATTTTTATATTTTCAGTAATTTTGTTGTAATTTTTAATACATTTTAAACTTTCTATCTATCTATCTATCTATCTATCTATCTATCTATCTATCTATCTATCTATCTATCTATCATCTATCATCTATCTATCTATCTATCTATCTATCATCTATCTATCTATCTATCTATCTATCTATCTATCTATCTATCTATCTATCTATCAAAACAAACAAACAAAATTTAATTTAATTTAATTTAATTTAATTTCAATAAAAAAGGGTTTTATGAGGACGTTTAGTAAGTAAATAATAAGAGATTCTTCATTTTCTTGGCTGAACTATCACTTTAAATCACATTTAATTAAAAAAAAAAAAATTTTTGTTTAACTTTCATGCTTTCGTCATTTTTATATTTACATTATTTGTATACTTCTAATATTTCTATATAGCTTTAATTTATATCTGTGTTTCCGTTTTAGTCATTTTAATACTTCATCATATTTTCTGTTATTTGCTAATGCAACTAACTAATGCAACAGTTTTTATCTAATATTTAATTGAATTTTAATTTAATTGAATTCTAATTAACAACAACAGTGTTTAATAGTTTAATCTTTAGTTTTAGTTGACAAATAACAACACTGGTCTCAAAAAACACCATAAAAGTGTCATAAAAGTAGTTGACATGCACTATATTTCTCATATTAAGTCATATGAAGGCCTGACATGAAGGTGAGTAAATAATGAGAGAGTCTTCATTTTTGTCTGATCTATACACACACAAGTACTCTTGCTTTGACGGCTCTTCCCACGAGACTGAGCTGAAATCTTTGTGAACCCGGTCGTTACCTTGGAAACCAGGCTGGCTCGGTACGCTGCCAGGGCCTTCAGGTACTCCTTCTTTGCTGCTTCTGTTTTCCGTTTGTATGCCTGCGAGGAGACCAAACACAATTGTGAATAAACACACAGGCACACACACACACAGGCACACACACACACAGGCACACACACACACACACACACACACACACACATATTTACATGCACTCACAAGCTCAGCTCAATATTTACATATATATGTATGTATATATATATGTATGTATGTATGTATGTAAATATATATGTGTGTATGTATGTATATACACACACTACTGTCAGACACACACACACAGACACACACACACACACACACACACACAGAGGCACACACACACGCACACACAGGCACACACACACACACACACACACAGACACACACACGTAATGCTGGAATATGAACAGTTAACCGTTGCTTTGCACCTGGTCAGTGCCATGTCAACAACTTTCAACCCCATGCATCTGAAACATACACGCTAGTTTAGCCTAAACTTACCACCTAAACTCTAGTCCTCAGGTCTTTACTGTCTCAGTGGAGAGAAAAAAAAAATCGTGCTCAGTGTTTTTGTCTTATTTTCCAGTACAAATCAGTGTTCTTTCAGCATTATTTAGATATTTCTTATTTTAAATATACATCTATATAGTTTTTATTAATTTTTATTTCAATTTTGGTTTTAGTTATTTTAGTACTTCAAGGTAAACTAAATTAAAATAAGAAATGTTGCATTTTGCACTGAAAATGATTAATTTTACATATTATATTTTATTAAAATATATAAATATTTTATTATTTTATTTCAGTTAATGTTGTTTTATTTCAAGTAACCAATTATTATTATTATTATTCTAAAAAAAAAATTCAGTTCCAGTTTTAGTTTAAGATAATTATAAGAAACCTGGTATAAATTATTTAAAAAAAAAATCAAGATACATTTACTTGAGAGACAAAATAACATTAGATATTGTCTTGTTTTCGGATTTATTTTTTCTTGTTTTAAGCATAAATACTGAGCAAAAAAATCATTCTTTACAATGTTTTGCATGTTGCATATTGCACTTTATTAATTTTTAATGTGCTTTTGTCATGTTACTATGAGTTTTTTTTATATTTAATTAAAATGAGATCTACGTATATTTATATTTTATTTATTTATATTTCAGTTTTAGTTTTAGTTATTTTAACACTTCAGCTTATTTTGTTTCAATTGACCCCACAGATATTTTTTCTTTTTTTTTAAAAGCATAATTACCAAGAAAATCATGTTTTACAGTGCATGACTGTAAATGCAGCTGTCATAATGGAAGCAAATTAACTACATGCTTCAAACTAAATCATTCTTTCTGGGTTCACACTGAGGAGGTTCACATTAGAAAACCAGCCAGATTTCTAAGTGTGCATCAAAGAAACAGCACAAAAGAAGAGGACAGAAAAGGCTGGGGGTTGTGGAAGAGAAAGACTGAATTTACTGCAGCCAATGCAAACAAAGTGAATGAAATGCAATGCAGGCTAATGTAATTGCTTGTCAATCATTTCACCATCCCAGAATCACGGTTTCCATTTCTTTTTGGCAACAAGTGCAGCCAATTCCCTGTGAAACTGGGACGGACATCAGAATGATTTCAGCTGATGAGGGGAAACGCGCTTTAAAACGGTGACAGCATACGTCACGCTGCTTCCAGACACATCCAGACGAGAAAAAGCAGTGTGACTTAACGAGATGAATATGGCTGCGGTCCCATAGGAAGAAAAAATACAAATGAGATCTCCTGAATATCTCAATTCTGTCTCATAAACAGCACTGAGATTATATGGAGTGGAAAAGCATCCTTGAAATAAGAGCCAGAAATCTGTCTCTTCTAGAGTTTAGGATACTTCTACTTTCAATATAATTTAAATAATATATCAATTTTTTTTCCATTACAGTAATGGGAATTTATGGGGAAAATGTGGCACATTTTAATGATAATAATGTCACAAGGCAATAAATAAATTAATAATACATATTCATGATGCAATTATTTTTACATACATTAATAATAATATAAGAATATAATAAATAAATAAATAAATAAATGTAACAGCTAATCTATTTAAAACATATTTTTTTAA